TCTCCTCTGGAATGTGCTGAGCAAAAGGTCCCAGCATCCCCAGATCTCGGGGCTGGCATCTCCAAAAGCTGCTGCAGAGAAAGGAGAGGTGGAAAAGGTACTGCAGAGAAAGAAGAGTAGGCTGGGCCAACAGGGACCCACCAAAATAATCCACACGCCAGGTCATCTCCAGTATAACTGAAGAGCCTTTAATATATTAGAGCAGGGATTCAATTGATGGTGAGACTCAAATGGTCTAATTATAAGCCAGTCTCACTTAGAAAAGGCAGAGGAAAAAACAAAGGGCTGTTTAAGAGATATGACACCAAGTACCAGCAGGGTTCATTTAAAAGCATTTCCTCCACTCCTATAGACTGGAGGAGTTCACTATAAGACCACGTATAGCACTCTTACAAGTGGAGGAGATTTCTGCTTTCTTCTCTGCTGCTTTTAAAGACTCATCCTGCCAAAATCAACAGCCTCCTAGTTTTCAGGCTCTGCAATCACTCTCAAGGTGCAGTTGCAACTGTGCAAAGCTTGTCTTCCCATTTGTTCTTCGATAAGGGACCTTTCTCTTGCCATTGACCTGCAAGAGGTTTTACTGGCTAGGTTTGCATAGGGGATGGAGAGCACAACAGAGGTGCATAATGTATTTATTGGTCACCAGTGCAGACAGGTATCTTCTGCTTCAGGTTAGGTGATTGTGGGCAGCCAGCCATAGGGGGGGTGGTTTAATGCTGACGTGCACCTCTGCTACCATCTTTAGTATAAATTATCTGCTCTCCCATCCCACCTTGACTTCACTCCTAATCTTTGGTGGTGGCCTTGGCCAGAGGGTAAGCAGCATCACGTCCTGCTCTTGCAGCTTCACTTTTGCTTGTCCAGAAGGCTCCTTGGTACATGCCTCTCCACCATGGGGACTGTGGTGATCCCTCCCTGAAGGCTGGACCACCGCCTTAGCTGCTGCTAAATCACCTTCCCCTCATGCCCAGGAGCAGGTCAGGCTGTGAGCCAGCCAAGCCTGTTCTTCAGGTATGGCTGCATACCTCCCTTTGACCAGTATTTCTGCTCCAGATCAAATATACATTGCTGGAAATTAAACCCAGCCTGTTATGGTCTGTAATTTCCATTGCAACCACAGGCACTGGCAGGAACCGCTGGTGCATGCTGCCCACTCCATCCCCTTCGGTCCTCATCCCCCACCAGCCACACCACCAGCTATGCAGAATAAACGGGGTTTCTAGGAGGTGGGTTTGGCATGCTGGTCTGCGACCCCAAGGTCTGGCTCTGGTATTTGTGAGTCTGAAACCCTCCGGGAGCCTGAGGCCTTCGTGTTTGCTTCTGCAGAGGCTTGTGGTGTTCTGGTACTGGTGTGCAGTGAGTAAACTGGAGGTTACATGGCTCCAGGAAGTTTGTGTTCCAGCTGTGTGAGGTTCCCAAGTAAACAGGGAGATCACCTTTCACTCTCTTCTTAGCCCTGCTTGTGACAGCACTACCCACAAAGCAGGAGAACCTGCACATCTCCAGCGACAACCTCTAGGTCTGTGCCTTTTATGAGCTGAATGTAGGGCTCTGATCCTGCTTTTGTTCTTTCCTCTCTCTTGCAGAGCCTTCCCAGGTCTTCCCAGCATAATGTGATTCTCTAAGTAGAGAATCTATGTCTGTCCATCCTCATGTCTCATGGTTGTCCTTGGTGGTAGGAGCTTCATTGCTGCTGTGTCTGAAAAGACCAGAAGTTCACTTGGATCAGATCGCACTTTCTTCTTCTATTGAGCCAGGGAGTCCTGAGGTCCAGTCCTTTCTCCAGCTTCTAGTTTTATCCAACAGCAGAGGATTTCCCAGGCTGGGGGAAGCATACAGGCTTGCTATGGGCTTCCCTGTTACTGCTGGATCATATGAAGCTACCAAAGAGTATGGAAGGCAGCTGAGTCTTCTGGATCCATACCATTGGAGCAAGCAAAATAACTTCTGGCCTAGCAGGAACCAGATTCATTAGAATGTCTAACCACTCAGTTCACATTTTGATAGCTCGAGATAGGAAAAAGAATTCCTTGGTCCATCATTCCCTTGTGGCTGGGGGTATCTGGCTCCACACTATGGATGCTTAAGCAGGTCTGTGTAAAATGAAATACTGATTGCAGCAGTATTTCATTGTCCTAAGTCACTGACAGGGAGGCTGCTTGGAAAGAAACACTTTCCTTTAAGAAATATCTTCTGGTCCAGCTTCAAATGTAGCAGGGACTGTCCTACTGTGCATGCGCAGCACAGGGGGAAATCATCTTCCATGCTGGGATGCAGTGTCTCTTCATCTAATCTTCCCAAGGCCAGGAATATCTTCTCAGTTGAGTCTCAGTTGGATTTGATAATGCTTAAAGGTCCCTTTCCAACTCCAGGTGTTCTATGATTCAGTGTTGGTGGGTATATACTGCCTTCCAAAGCCCAAAGGCCATATAATCTTTGAGAAGAATAGGGATACTGTGAAGGAAAACTGAGATGCTTCAGTACTTGACAGATTGAAACCAGCTGGTGAAGCAGAGCTAGTGTGGTCCTCACCTCATGAAAGCTTCAACCCACTGCTTGGTAGAAAGGAGTAAGGAGGATGATGCAGGGAAAGAGAAGAGCTTTGGTCATGTTGAAAGAGTTTGACCCAATCTCCTCCCCAGCAGAAGAGAAGTGGCTTTTGAGGGTTCTGATGCTCAGTGAACAAGGTGGGCTTTGCCTGGTATCAGAGGGACCTGCCTCAGTTCCTGCAGAGCTACACCAGTGTGAGTTTGATCTGCCCATGGGAAATGTGCCCAGTGGGCAGATTTCAGTTGATGGCTTGTTTTGGATGATGGGAGATGGCAGGGTACAGAATGAGCTAGTGGCGTGCATGAATAGCTGTGGGCCTGTTTCACCTTTGCTAGTTGAAGTAGCTGGGTCCCACTTAGCATCAGCGAGGTCTTCTCCTTTTAGCCAATGTCTTGGCCAGGGCAGTGTGACTGCTGTAGGAGGAATGCGTTTCAAAGGCTGAGAAAGAAATGCTGCCCCAGGAGCCATGTAAAATGAACCAAACCCTGTCAAGGTGTGATGTTTCCTGCCAGGCACTTAACATCAACCGTATCACACTAACAAAGCATCATAAGAAGAATCTGAAATCAAACTCTCCTCTTCCTGTCAGTGCCGCCATAAATCACTTTCATGCTCTGCACTTGTCTGCAGACCAAACTGTTCCTTGCCAAGGCTATAACCCTGTGGGGATGGAAACAGAGGAGAGTCCTTAAAAAGAGGTAAGAGTCCCCTGTTTTCTCATGTGCATCTCATTTTGTTACTCCTGTTGTACTATCCGTTTTCTAAGGTCTGTAATTTAAAAGCAATATTGGTAGAGGAAAGCTAGAGCTGAATTCGTGTCCAAGGGCTGGAATTTCGATTCCAGCAGGATAAAAGCTTGGGAGATGTCAGTAGTGCTCTCCAATAGCCCCATTGCCAGGCAGGGCAGAGGCTTATTGGGCATCACACCTCTTCCCTGGTACGTTTTTCTGCATGGAGACAGATCTCTATTGAAAAGCTGAGGCTGGTGGCTGAAACAGCTGCTGTGTGGAGGTGATTGTTACAACAGAGTGAGCATCACAGATCTCTGCAGAATAAACTGAGAAGACAGGGCCATTAGTGAGCGGGGCAGGCAGTGCCTGAAAAATGAGCTCAGCAGCATGTTGGGCTCATGGGGAGGATGAGAGGTGAGCAGAGGACTTGCTGATTTGCTTGAACTTTTCTATTGGTGAGGCTGAAACTTTGTCTCTTGCCACTGAGTGGCAGAAAAAAGGGCTTGGCTAACTCTGATAGGGGTAAAGGTTCTCTTCACATCATGTCTTGACCCTACATCTGGTGAATTTGGGGATGTAAGTGGAAAAAGATGGGAAAACAGGATGCCTTTTTTTTCTTTTGCCATCCGCAGGCCAGTGACACCTGCCTGTCCCTGCAAGTGGTGCTCCTGGGACAGGGTTCAGAAGCAGGGAAGCTGAGAAGCCCAAATGAGCTTTTTATATCTTAGCGATGCTCATTTTCATGCTGCTTTCAAGCCCTGCGCCTGGTCCGACTGGTGCTGGAGCCCAAAGACCCTGAGCTGGGGTCCTCTTGCAGGATGAGGAGGAAGGGAGCAACCATGGAGACTCTCCCACAGGTTCAATGCACCCTCTCGTGGCGAGCAGCCATGGCGGGTGCCTGGGCAGGGTCTAGGTGTCTGTGGGTGCTCGCTGTCTGGGGCTCGGCTCCTTGGCATCATACCCGGGGTGTGCACAGTGACCTGCCAGCCATCCCATGGAATGGTTCAGGGAGCTGGTTTCTCTAGGCTCAGGACACACCAAAGCATGCTCCACCATTTCCCGTGGGGTGTCCCCACCTCCCTCTCCTCCTGCTTTATGCAGGGAAAAGTAAGAATTCATACAAAATACTCCAAGCTGGCTTTCCCCCAGCCGGGAGGAACCTGCTCTTTTCCTCCCTGTGAGGAGCCTGCAAAATGAATCAGTGCTTTGCATAAGCAGAGCCCTGGGAAGGTATTGCTAAAACACCAGCGCTCAGGAGCTTCACTGATGGGACTTTCAACACGAGAGAAAAGCAGGTTTTTTAGCTCCGTAACCCTTTAACCCAGGGAGGGATTTCTATGGCCACCCAGTTTCCCCCCTCCCACCACCCGGGAGCCAAATCTCAGCTTGCTAAAAGGTGCCTCCCCTTCCTCTCGGCCCCTCAATACTAATCCCCCAGTTGTTTTCCCTGCAGAAGTGCTGCACTGCTGGTGCCAGTGCCTTGTCCAGCCACGTCCTGCACCCTTGGGCAATGAGCAGGACAGAGGGGAGCTGCAGGGTCAGGGCGCTGGGTGTTCCCCAGAGGTGGGCACGCATTGTCTCAGCGCTGTGGTCCCCATTCCCAAGGAGCCCTTGCTCCCACCTGCTCCATGCGTGCTGGCTTTGGCTTCCTGCGACTTTAAAGTTCCCTCGGTGCACAAAGGAAAAGAGGGAGGAGAAAGGGTTTCATCATCACTCCCCAGAGCAGACTTATAAAAACTTTGCGCTCACGCTGCCTGCCTCACTCACAGGCTCACAGGGTTTTCGGCACTGACTGTGCGTGCTGCGAGGATCAGGACAGGCCAGAGAGGGACGGGACCCCACACACAGCATTGCTATTTGGGGCTCCCCTGGAAGCCCCCATGATGGGAGTCCACCCCGAAGCCAGCAAGTCCCCAGCTGACGTCCCCAAAAGCTCCGGCACCTGCTCCCGGAGTATCTTCTGCAATATCAAGGTAAGCAGCAGTGCCGGGCAGGGATGCGCCTGCTTCCCTGGTGGCGAGGGAGGAGAACACTTGCACTGAGAGCAGCCCCAGCCCATCCCACGGGTCCCCACATTCCCAATGCAAACTGACAGTAAAACCAAGGGTGTTTGCTAAGATGCAGAATTTGGAAGCCAGCTCCTTGGGCAGTACTGGATAACTAACACTGCTGAGGTGAGTCCTGCTCGGCACAGGAAGGGCTGGGGGGCCTGGCTGTGTTTCAGTGGTACCTGGCACGGCGTGCGGGTGTTGTGCCGCGTGGAAGCGGCGTGGGCAGCTCTCCGTGAGCGGTGGGGTTTACCCAGAGTGTCCGGTACGCTGTGTGCTGCTGCTTAGGGAATGATTAACCACATCCTGGTGCGAAAAGAAAACGCTGCCCTATCATAATGCTGACTTGCTTTAAAAACCTTGGTGAGGAGGGCTTTTGGAGTGACAGAAGCAAAATCTCAGCAGGTTGAAGTGGGTTTTCTGGTGCTGGCTGCCTGGTTACTCACCTGCCCCTATTAACAAAAGCTGTCATCTGAAAGCCGGTTCTTGCCTGAACTTCAGGATCTTAAGCTCACTGCCTGCATGAGAAAACACCAGCCTATGGCCACCTCTTGCGTTTTAAACCCTGCTTTTACACCATCCCTCACCCTGTCTTTTTTTGACCCATGCAGCACATTTTGGCTCATTTTGGATGGGCACCGGGACTGCTGCATGTGCTGATTCCTGTCCCTGGGATATCCGCCTGCCAGCCAGGATTTCCCTTGGGGGGGGGGGGGGGGGGGGGGGGGGGTGATGTTCATGCCTCTCTTGGCAGCACCTGCACACATCGGCATTCAAAGCAGCTGGGTGCAGGTCTTGGAATGGCAGCTCCCAGGGGTTTTGCAGCTTTGGGTACATGAGAGAGGGGACATCCTCTCCAGGACCCCTTCCTGCTGCTGCTGCTGCTGCCAATTGTGCCCAGGGCGGGGGTGCGATTTCCCACTGGTGTTCTTGACTATGAGTGTGTTGTTTGCTGCGAGGAGGGGTTTGTCAGCACTTCCCAGCTGTGTTCCAAGGAGTGTGCAGCCATGGGTAGGGCATTGTGGTCTGGGATGGGTTTGGGGTTTATTTTCTACCCATCTTTCCTCGCCTTCCATGAAGGGTGGCACTGCCCGCTGCTCTTTGGGCTATGCTTGTTTGTGGCTGATTTCTGGGCAGCAAAACTTTCACCAAATCACGGTGGGGGGAGCCAAACAGTTCTGTTGGGGTGCTGTGGGAATGCTGTAAGGTATCATCAGGCTGCTCTCAACAGGCTGCTCCTCGTCCTCTGGGCTCCCAGGGCTGGAGGCATCATCCCAGCTGATGTCGTCCAGCCCTGCATCTCACTGTGCTGTTCCAGCAGGTGTCTTGATGGCCCCTTTTGGCTGTGAGCTCCAGGAGGAAGAGTTACCCTGTGTAATTTAGGGCTGCCTCCAGCCTACTCTGGAAGGGACTGGTGACCTCCTCTGCTGGAGGTGCAGAAGGTGGCTCTAAAGCCCATCGGCTGCTCCAGTAATTACCATGGCTTGAAGTGAGTAAAGTCACCCCCAAACCAAGCCCTTCTTGCAGTTCATGCTGTTTCCTGGAAATGTGCACAGCTTCTTTCAGCTGTGTGCTCACAGGGCAGCATGCAAAAATATCCTGGATCTGCAAAAAACATCCCCAAACTTGATGCCTTTTTCAGGATGTAAAACTTCAGGGTTTGAAAAAAAGCCCCAGCAAATACACGTTAATCCATTTCCACATCTTATAGGCAGGATGCAGGCTATGGGTGCCCCTAAGGGAACACCAGCATGTGAGAAGAAAACCACTTCTAGTTTAAAAAGTCAACAGCCCAACACTGGCATTGTGCAAGTGTGTTAAGAAACAGTTTGAGCTCTACCAAAACATGCTTGTTGGCACCCGATGATGTGTACCATCTGGAATGGTGGGGAATCAGGACATCCATCCCTTGGAGAAAAGTTCTTCCTTTTAAGAGCAAATGTATATAATTGACAGGCAGTGATGTCCCCCACCCTTTCCTGAGCTGTTCATTCTTCCTCTGCTGTGATATTTGTGTTAAAAGTCTATACACATTTAAAAAATAACTGCTTCAAGGTAGGAAAGCACTGGCCTGTGCACAGTTGTCAATCCATCCTCTCAGCCCCTCTGGAGTAATAGAGAATCTACGTCTCACTAATGAATTTCCAGGTTTGGCAAGTTCTTTTGTTGTGAATGGGTCATCAGAAGACAAGGCATACAGTAAGCATCTTGGTTTATATGGCTTTATAGCACTTGCTTGTTATGAGAAGCCATTGGTGCTGCACATACCGTATTATCTAAAGTCTTCATCCAGAGACAGGTACTCTATAAAGGAATTAAAATTAATAAGACGCAGCATCCTCATAGAAACAATAGCAGTTTCTGACAGAGACAGTGTTTCCAGCACAACAAAATCCGCCAGTTGTAGCAGGCTCCAAGTTTTGATCAAGAAGTTCGTATTTAATCCATAAAGCTCACATGCCAGGATCATTTTTGGAGCTCCTTTTGCATGGCTGGTGCCAAAAATAATGAATTGCTTTGCTATGTTAACCGTCCTGCTTTTCCTTGCTCCAAACAATGGGGACCACCGCCTCCCTGCACTGTTTCCCGTTGCTCTTGGGGTGTTTTTCAGCCCTAGCCCCATTGCTGCTGATATTCAGAGGCATGGGAGCATGATGATGCTCAAGATGGGCATCAGAAAGGGAAAGGTCCTGGTGGAAAGCAGCAGAATTACAGAATCCTGGTTCAGATCAGAAAGGACCTTACAGTTCATCCAGTTTAACCCCTTGCCATGGGCAGGGACACCTTCCACTAGACCAGGATGCCCCAAGGTCCATCCAACCTGGCCTTGAGCACTGCCAGGGATGGGGCAGCCACAGCTGCTTTGGGCACCCTGTGCCAGCTCCTCAGCACCCTCACAGAGAAGAGCAGGATGGAGATGGCAGCTCTGGGGATGGATGGTGTGCCGGGGTTCGCTGCTGGGGATGCAGCAGTGGTGCAGAAGCAGGTGCCTGGGGAGCAGGCAATGTCCTGTGGATGTGGCCACTGGCTCATATCTGTGCTCTGACACAGCAGGCATTTACAGCTGATCTCTGTACCCTATGGGAATAGGGTTGGTGGCAGTTCGTTGTTGCTGCTGTGGAAGTTACTCCCTGTTACATGTGGGTATTAATGACTGTAGCTAATACTGCAATTACTCCAAGTGGCACCAAGGCTCTGTCTACACTGATATTTAAGGGCACCGCCTGGCTCAGCCAGCAGCGTGTTTGCTGTCTGCACCGTATCTTGTAGCTGGAATAAACCTGGTCATTGTGCTTATGTTTTTGAGTGCTCTCTCAGATGTTGCTTGAACTCTGCTAGAAGCTGGCTGTTTATCTTGAATCATGTTAAAGAGAGAAAGCAGAATGCAAAAGGACTCCAGGTTTTGGAGCTGGGAGGTTGCTGCTGAGCACTGTCCCCTAGAAGAAGTCTAGAGCATCTCAGTAATCCTACAGCAGTGGTGGATGTGGGTGCTGATGAGCAGGGACATCATTCTTTGAACTGAACAGAGAATTGAACTTTGAAGTTCACCAGAGCTTCTAGGCTTGTGCTGACTGGCATTAGGATTTTAGGAGGTTGCAGCTGTGCCGCTTGGCAAATGCAGGATGAAGCCAACCTTCAGGTGGATGCCAACACCCGGTGGCACTGGGGACATTGAAGACCTCAGAGCCTAAAGGAACAAAACAGATTCGAAAGGTGAAGTGCATAGTTAGTCTTTTTGATACCCATGCATGGCCCATCAATGTCCCTGGGTCCAGAGTCCTAACCGCTGTCTCCAATCATCTTGCCCTTTCAGACTTCCAGTGAAAAAGGATTATATCAAAGCTGTTATCTATCTATAGGGCCTCAGATATTTTGGCTTCTTCACCTTTATTGTCTCTCCCATGGTTTTGCGCTGTTTTTATTGATAGCAAATTGCTTGTTCAGGATCCCCAGAAACATGAAAAGGAGGAGAGCTTTATAAATATCTTGCTGCTTAGTGGAGTTGGACTGGTTTTAGCTGGAAGCCTGTTAGCTGGAGAGTGCAGGGGAGCAGTGCGAAGTGGTTGGGAGCGCAGGCAGGGAGAGGCTTTTACCCTGTGACTGCCCAACATGGAAGAGGAAACAGGAGGATAACAGAAAGTTTTTGTCACTTATGTCAGCTGGATGGAGTCCAGGGAGAGATTTAAAAGCCTTAGGGGCAGACTTAAATTGGGTGTTATATTGGGATAGGGAGAGGAATGGTATGGAAAAGTGTAGGGAGGGGGGACAGCAAGATCAGGAGGGAACTGTGGACTCTCAGAGTGTGTTAAGGCTTTAAATCATCGCAGGGTGAAGATGCTGGGGCATGTGGTGTGTAATGGCCATGAGTGGGGAGCTCTCCCCTCACTGGGGAGGCTAAATTCCTTCTGCAGAAGAAACAGGAGCCTTGCCTTGGGTTCTGAGGTCCCAACAGCACCAGGGCAAGTTTTTTGTCCCTGCCTTTAAAGGGACTAAAGGAATTTGCTGAGATGAGTGTATTTCAGAAGCCTGGAGATATAATAGTTGTGATCTCATGTCCTGTTGGAAAAGAGTGTGAATTGCTTTTCTTAGCTGTTAGCAAGAACAGGAGATTCGTCATTTGTCTGAAGACGGTATGGCTGTAGATTTGGAGAGGGAATCATCAAGAGGAGAAAGTCATTGTTGATTAGGGCCATTGGCTAAAGCACAAAACTCAAAGACTATTCCAATACTGGGCACTGTGCAAGGAAAGCTGGATGAGTATTTGTAAGTAGCAAAAAAGCAAGCTGGGTCATTAGGACAAATGGGGTTGCACGGGGAGAAGGACCTGCTATGACCAGGGTCTTCCAGCATTCCTGGTGATGGTGCTGGTATCAGAAAGCAAAGGTTGGGTTTGGATGGATCTGACTCTGTGTTTTTGTTTGGTT